CGTGGAGCCTGAGGTCTCCTGGCCTTCACTGAAGGCCACCAAGGGCTCCCTGCTGCCTGCCTGCCTGCCTTGCTACCGTCCAGCGTGATCCCCCTCCAATGTGCTTACGTACTGTGGGTTGCTTTTTTTTCAGTAGACTGAAAGCAAAGTCTAAATTTAAGTGGCAAAGCCAAAACTGAAAGGGCACACATCTTCAGTAAAGTAGCTACTTTCTAATACAAATCTATCACAGAACCTTGTTATCATGTTAGCTGCAAAATGAAATGCTAATTAATTAAAAAATGGTACCACAGCCTCCTCTCGGGTGATGCTGTTATCAGATCAATTGGTATATATTGTTTGCAGTAATTGTTTCGAATTTCCTTATTGACTTTTATGTCTTCCAGATTGTTAATTTTAATACTATTAGCCTCTACATTAAATTCATGAGTATTTTGTCATGTAAATGAGGACAAAGATAGGAATTGAGCCATACAGAGGAAAACCCCAGTATTGATTTATTATTAATACTGGAAGGTCACCATCTGGACAATTCCATAAAATAATACATCTGCATTGCTGCTAAATGGGAGCTTTAACATCTGGATCATATTATTCCAAATTTTCCTCATCCACCCATCATAGCAAGAGGAATTTCCTGACAAATCAGATTGCTGCCCAAAGGTAAAATGTTTTTCTCATTACTGTACTTTAAATGAGCTCAAAAAGACCTAGAACTGAAGTCAGCATCAGCATCATAGACAACTTTCCCATCTTCTAATTATGCAGATTCAATAGGTCATACAAGCACCAACTGAAAAATGTCCATCTGTCTTCTGCTTCCCTCACAACACTCCCCTGACTCTGAGCGAGTAAGAATGCCTATCACCAGCAAATTCAACAGAAGAGCATTATTCCGCTATCCTTTCCATCTTATAGCATATGGTGAAAACTGCATACATAAAGAAAATAACTGCGTAATAATTAGATTTATTGTGACAGACCGACCTTACCAGAACTTGTTAACTTGGCAACGCAAGCTAACTGGCTCTCTAAAAATCTAGCCTCTTTTGATGTAGACGTATTCAAATACTCAAAAACATATGCATGGAAGAAATAATAAATCAGCTGTTTGGGATTTTTTAAGGTTTAAATTAATACGCTTATACTTGACAGAACTTTGGAAATTGGCAGGGATTTCTATATTAAGTAAATCAACTAACCTTATTTTCAAGATTTGCCTCATTACTTAGGTATCAAATCAATGCTGTCATAACTACGCTGCTTCATTTTTCAACTCTATTCCAAAGTAAGCTCTCATTACATGACTGCCACATGATACAAGATGTTTAATCAGTAAAATGGGCAACTACCTATGGGACCAGAAGTAAGGCTTTTGTATTTGAGATTGTTCTGAGACCATGACAAATCTGCCTTTCTATCTCAGATATTTTAAGACTTCTATTATGCCAGGGGAGAACAACTTTGCCCACATATATTTATTTAATTTCATCAATGGACAGCTTCCAATGGCAAGCAAATTGCATTATAAGAATGAGGTGAGTACCTGATAGTTAGAATTTTCTTTGGGAAAATACAGAGTCAGAATACTAATAAGCTTTTTCCTTCCTTCCCCATTTGATATGCCAGACTCCTGCTTTTATGTTGAGAAAAAAATTATAGGATAGGCTAGGACAGGATAGGAATGGTTTTTCAAAGATCGTAATTCTCTGACTAGCATTCTTCGTTGCCACCCCACATCCCAGAGCGCATACTACAGTTGCGAGCACATAATTGCCTGCACCTCACTGAGTCAGAGGAATGCAAAATTTGTGAGTGAAATGGAGAAATGAGAGCATTGTCTGAACACAGATAAAAACCTATTGAAAATCAGGTTGTCACAATGCAAATTAGCAGAACACAGGCTCCATATTTATTTTTGAAAATCTCAAATAACAAAATTCTCAAAAGTAACTGAGAAGCAATTATTTTCTCTAATCTGCTTCCTCATCATATGGACGTTAACCCCAAACGGTCAGCTACCATCTAGAAGAAACAACACAATTGTCAGAGTGAGCCTACATTTTATTTTAGGCTAAGACTTACTAGAAAAACCTCTTCCTTATTTCTTCTCCCCCCCCCCCATGCTAGGATCATACCCATGTTACTTTATATGTAGCCATCTGGTGAAGGGCAATCTCTTTCTTCTTGCCAAAATTACCCACAGCTGAGCCTTGGTTGCTTTGCTGCAACTTTTTTGCTCTTGCCTCTTTGAAATAGGAGCCTTCCCCAGCATGCCTTTTTTTTTTTTCTTTCTTTTTTCAGGAGACATTTTACATTCTCGATAAGCCTGGTTAAGGCTCTTTTGGAAGGTACAGGCTGTTGCTGTTTCTCTTGCATCTAGTAAGTAGTTGCTGCTTTTTATTTTTTGTTCTTTTTGAGCAAGCTAATGAGTGCCCTTTCCATTTAGGGCTGGTTTTATGCTCCCTTTGACCTTCATTTCCTTTTTCTTTTAAAAAGAAACCAAACTTTTCTTTTTTACATGTTTGCAAAGCACTTTGAAGGGGAGGGTGGGAGTCAATCACTGCAGTCCTTTGCTTTATTGCTACTAACAGGACTGTGCAATTCTCTCTGAGCTCTTACTATGTCTGAGAATAGCATGAGCATCTAGAGCAGGGATGTATACACGCAAACAGCCACCATGACCTCAAAGAATCAAACAGAAAGGTTTGTTAGCTGATGCTGCCTTCCAAGCCATGACATGCAATGGAGAGCTGGCTACTTGTATTATTGATCTCTTGGGACAGAACACAGAAAAGAAAGCAGTTCTTGGTCAGAGAAAAGGAGCCTTAGGTTTACCCCCCCCCCCCCCCCCAAAAAAACCGTTTTCCCCCCCCCCCCTTTTTTTCCCTCACGGTTCCCCCCCCCCCCCCCCTCAAAAATAATGCGTTCTCCCTCCTCATCTGTTTTCCCTTCTCTTTTGCTCCTAAAGATGCAAGCATGTTGTTACAAGCAGGGGAAAGTGTTTGGTTTCTTCTCTTCAGTATTAGACGCTGTTGTGCATAACCTATATGTGAACTATACAGGCATAAACCAACAGGTCAAAAGCTGGATGGCAAGTAAGAGAAACACATAAGCAAGCAAAAGTAGAGGGCTGTTTTCTCTTTAGTAAGCATGTGGTTGTTTTTCAAATTTTGACTTATTTAAATGTTTCCTACCAAATCAAACAAAAATTATATGCACATGAACGCAAGCATAATAACTGCCACCTGGAAGAACTGTAACGCAGAAGTCTAGACCTGCCTGTACTTAGGGAAGCAGTAGAATTATTTTCCTTGTTGTTTATTTTTATGTCAAATGGACAATTTCCTTTATGCATTAACTAAGTTGTTTAAGTCCTAAATGCGACCATCTTTACAGTTTCTGCCTCTAAATCAGAAGGTTTCTTCATTTGATGCGACAATGTATACTAGTTATTTTTCATCTATCTATCTTGTGTACGGATCTCATTAATCATTCAACTGTGTATCTTAATGTTTGTCCTATTTGTTAGTCTTCAAAGTACAGTGGGTCAGATTTTGGCAGTTACCATACTGGTAGAAATTTGTAACTTTAACATTGCTGCATGACATGCTTTTAAAGAAAGCAACCTAATGCAATGAGATCGACAGTGTGTTCGAAAACTATACAAAAGTGTCTGGATATGAAACATGAGGGCAGCTGTAACATAATACACAAACTTGTAAGTTGTTTTGGTGACCAACACGCTTGAGTTACCTAACATGGAATAAATGCAATAAACCATCTACTGGCAGAGACCCACTGCGAGTAGCGTTCACTATTATAAAGTAACTTCATAATAGATAGGTGGTAGGTGTGAGAATATATTACTCTCCCAACTAAACAGAGCGTGAAGCGGAACTGCCAAAACTCGGTGCAAAGTGAACTTCAGCTTCTGGTGGTACTATTTTTACTGAAAGAGGCTCTGCTTCAGTTCCTCTTTTACTGGAGAAAGAGGCCTTGCTGCTGCCACACAGCTATGCACTGAAAATTGAGGCCCCAAGATGTTTCTGGCACAGACGTTTTGTTTATTTTAAAACGCACTGCAAAAACACAAAAACCATCACAAAGTCTTATTAAAGTGTTGTGATGGTTGTAGTTGTACTGGAGCCTCCCTAAATTAGACTAAATGCATTTAAAGTATATTTTTTCCATACTGGCTATGTCACTTTGTAGGTGTGACTGACTCTTGTAAACTAACAGTTGGGAATGAAGCTTCAGTTGCTGAAGACTAAGTTACACAAGTAATAGGACTGTAACAAGTGTAGGCTATTGGCGTTTTTGACAGAGGTTAAGCCTATGTAGTACACATAACTAAGTACTGCTAAGGAGGATAATGCCAAAGCAACACCGAGTGCATGCTTCTTAGACTCCCACGGGCTTTCCCAGGCAGACCGTGACTTTCCCAGCTGCTCATCATATGCATACTTGGAGTTCAAGTGTGTTTCAGCACTGATTTGATACCTGTCTCGTGCAAAATATTTTCAATGAAAAACAAAGACATGGACAGTCTGAGTGACTTCAGTCGCTTCAGTGTTGTGTTCTTTATTCTAAATGTCTGTTGAAATCAGTAAGGCAGAAATTGATAGGAAAGAAATACTTGAAAAGCTCTGAACTGAGATGCTAACATGAACATAAAATGAATCATACAGCAGAATTGGTCTAGAAGAGGAGTTAAAGAGAACATAATGGTAACGTAGTATCATATACGATTATACTATACGTGCTCAGGTATTGTGTGCGCTCAGGGTTAGGAGTACGTGTTTGTAAATGTAGAGTTAGTGACATGAAGCTAAAATCCTCAATGAGCTACGCTACCTGGGACTTCATTAGGCAATTCATCTGTATATATGTTGCCATGACGAACATTTCATCACCGTTCCTAACTCTGTAAAGTATAGCTGAAGAGCCTGTTTCACAATCTCTGTATTGCAATTTTATGCCACTGTGAAACTCCACTAACAGTAAAGCTGTCATAGATCAGGCTGGTTTTATATCCCATAGTAAACCAGTTTCTGTAAATTGTATCAAGGTTTCATTCTTTAGTGTTTAACAGGCCTGTCAAATCAGGGGGTATGATCCTTCAGAGTCTGAGGAGCAATTAGATAAAGTATTGATCATGACAGTTATTGATGTCACTGCTATTAAGAAGTTCAGTTACCAAAAACTGGATTTCAATCTACAGATGGCTTAGGACACTCATCAGCTGATGAAGATGGAAAAGCTAAGAAGCTGTTTGTGTGCTTAAAATTCTACCTGTCTGAAATATCTGTGTAATCCCCATTATTGTTTAACATTTACTTACAACTCAAATTGCTTTTCAAGGACCGGCCTTTTCTGAGATGCCTCTTTTTTTAACTATTGAATAGGGAGGTCAGGGGTGGAAATCATGTCACTAGTTTTCTCAGGTTTGCGGAGAAGTCTGGTAGGGGAAAGGAAGTGAGCTGAAGCACCGTAAGCCCCAGTTTTAGCACCTTAACCACAAGACAAATTTTCTCTCTTATTAGGCATGTGTGTGAGCAACTTGATGAATAGGGGTCTTGGATTCTCTCAGTGAACCCTCTGTAGCATTACTTCAGCTAGATAAGGGTAGTGACTTTGTTCTCCTGCCTAGTCCATTATTAGACAGTTGTTTGAAAACTCAAAGCCTTTTCCTTAAAAGCTTTACCCTACTAAAGACTGACCACAGCATCAATATGCATACAGAGAAAATAAAATACCAGTTGTTTTTTCTTCCTACATAACAGCTATTCTCCACCTGACTGAAAGTCATGGCTTGATGCTTTCCACAGAGGCTCAGTTGTCTTACCAGATGTAAATGCTTAAAGAATATGTCATGACTCCCAACTTTTACCTGAGAAAGATGATGTCTTAACCACTACAGCTCTAAAACCGCTGTCTTTCTGACAAGCTGTTCACATTGTACGATCAACAGTGTCTTTGCTTCCATTGAACAAGCACAGTCTGGGCAACAACCAAGGTTGCAATGAGAAAAAGAACCATCTCCATACGCATTGACTCACAGCCATGGTGCTTCACATGCATTTTCTGATGTTGCAACCTGAAAAGAAAATATGCATGCTATTTAAAAAAAAAAAAAGTCTAGATTGATTTGTTATACCTAGAGGTGACAGTAAGCCTATGTATGAGAGATACTTTGTGAGGAAATAGGTTAGTGTTGTTGTGCATGAAGATATAAGGTAACCAACTAGATGAGAATACTTGGTCTCTGTAACTGGAACTATTATCCTGAAAAAGGAAATGTAAAGTAATGGGCAGAGAGTCGTCTTTTTTATTTTCTTTTTCTAGTAACTCAGTCCTGAACATAAATATAGCCACAAATGCATAGTGGCTATGAATTTTAAGCAGACATTTCATAATCGCAGATCTGAGCCCCGAATAATCTTTTAGGTAAATGCAAACTCAGAAGTGGGCTAAAACCCCTGTTTTGTTTCCTTCCCTATAAAGTGAGAACTGTAGCTGGTATTTATCTTCCTTCTAGAGTTAATGAAAGTTTCCTTGAGCCCCTAAGAAAGGAGGGGATTGTCTTGGAGCTATAAATCAGCCTCCTTCATAACTAAGGCTGAGTGATCTTCTGTGTTAGATTGGAGCCTCATGCCCCTGTAGTAAGGATCTTGATCTTCATCTGACCTTGACCCAAATTAACCTGGATGTTAGTTTTCCTCTGACCTGGAGCTTTCTGGGCCTACGTTTCAGCACTCAACAGCACCTCCTGGCTTCTAGATCTGTGTATGCACTGAGTGCACCCCAACTGCACCCTGAAACGAAGCTGAAGAGACAGACATGCACTGTCTCCCTTCCCCTTCCCTGCTTTGTTCCCTGTGGGGAGAAACACCGTGCGTATGGGGTGGAAGGGAGCTGCAGCATGTTCTGGTTGATGCCTGCCCTGGACACAGCCAGTGTTAAAACAGTTGGGAACCAGATTTGAGCAAGGAACCATGCAAAAGCCCGAAGCCATTCTTTGCTGCTATTACTTGCTATCCCATGCTGGCCAAACTTTGAATCCAATTAAAAGTTTTGACTTTGCAGAAATCTGGATATAAGTTTAAAACGTGGTTCTTTCCCATCCCTTCTTCAGAAGCAAAAGTGCAACAGAAGCCACACTTTTTTTCCATTTAAAAAGAAATGGCTACATGATGGATGCTGCACTCGGATGCCACAGCACCAAAGTGGGTACTGATACCAGTGTCAAACGTCTTTCTTCCCAGCTTTACGCAAGTACCACACAGTACCACATCTTCTTTGCCGGCAGCATGCTTGCGCTAAGCACCTCGAAGCAGCTCATCGGTGCGGTCCACTCGGTGTCCCTCAGGCCGCAATCACGGGTGCCCCCTTACGGGCAGCGCACCGGCGCCGGGCGTGCTGGCGGGGCAAGCCTACAGCTGGAGATAGCATAATTAATGTGCATCCTAAGAAAAGGGAAGGCGGCAACATGGAGATAAGCTTTTCCTTTCCACCCCCCCTCAAGCAGGCATTAAAATGATGGTTAAAGGACCATTTCTTTATATTAGACTTGCAAGGACAGGAAGCGTTATATTTATTGTACCTAAAGGAAAACATTGTACTACAACAGCAATCTCTGTAATGATTGCTGTAAAGCTGTTCCCTATTTTGTTTTGCTGAGGAACTGATTAAGCTGACAGAATAAAAAGTTCCAGTAAAACTTTTCAAGAAGAGGAAATTCTTTACTAACTACACTTCTGTGAACAAAACGTTAAAGGTTTCTGGTATCGCTGTAAATGTACAATTCATTTAACAAAACATTTGCAAGCAATATGTAAATTAACTTATTTCCATTGTTCCTCTGTTGATAATAAATCATTTTCCTGAAACACATTCAAAACAAGTATTATAACTTCATGGTGAACAATAGCCAGATGGGTTTTCTTCTCTTAACCCTCACCACCCTTTCTGTCCCGTGAGTTGCTGGACGTGTTGGCAAGTTCCCTCTGCCCCTCTTGCCTGGAAGCTGCTTAGAAACCTGCAGCTATGCCGAGGGTGGCAGTCACGCAATCTCAATGGCTGCCATGTACGATGGCCGCAGCTAATGAATTCCTGACCAACGGGGATGATGGCGTACTCTAGAGACCTACAGTTAGAGCATAACTTCAGCCAAAAGGGACCTTGGCAGACAGCTGGACCAACCTCCAGTGCAAAACAAGAGTGAAGGACATCAGACTGCTCAGGGCTGAGTCCAGCTGAGTTATTAATATCCCCATGGATGGATATTTCACTGCTCCTCTGGGCCTCCTGTGGTAGTGAATTCTCTTTTTTCTTCTTCAATACATGAGGACAAAATCACTGCAACAACATTAGCAAGCTGAGGTTTAAACAAAATGTCTCCTAGACTTAATCAAAAAGGTCTAGGTCTGATCCTTCAGCTACTCTAATCAGGCAGCTGTACAGGTACACCATAAAGATTGTGGTATAGCTCACACAATAGAAGGCTGAAAAGGGGAATTTGAGAGTATTTAATGAAGTTTAAAGGTAGTACTTCTGGTTCCAAACTGGGTTCTATCAGAAAAAGGAATTATCAAAGATGGTGTTTAGTTCTTATTTTTCCTTCAAAAATCTTCCAATTCTGTAAATAAGTTTTTAAATTTTCTATAAAAATTCTGAAACTCAAGGGGATAAATTTTTCTGATTTTTATGAACATTTGCTGTTACTCAGTTGAAATGGCTATGTGTGGTGGTGGTGGTTGTTAATATAATCTGAAGTGTCAAGGTGCCACTTCATGTTGATTTTTGCCGTGTACATCTTAGCCCTATGGGTAATGTGTCCTTGCATTTTGCTCCGAGTACTGAGGGATATGCTACGGTTTTACCATCTGCCTTAAGTAATTGTGTGGCACTTTGTTCTTGCCTAAGGGAGAAACAGGGAGTGCAAGTCACCATTCACTTGGGGAAAGATGTACACTTATAAAAGAATTTAAGAAGCAAAAGATACAGCTGCACCTAGCAGAAACTTCAAACCTATCTAGGTGCCCATCTGCCGCTCCCTGCTTCCTCAGCTCCTCTTACTGTTTCTGTCAGAAAAAGTATGAGGCAAGTGGCTCCTGATTTCTCATCTTTGGAGGTCATGAGGATCAAATTGAGGGAATAAGGCAAGCAAAAAAAAAAAAAAAAAAAGTCTTCATTATACTTTTGCAGAGTCAGGTAAAGGTGTTGACAGTCTAGTCTTAGTCAGCAAATACCGTAAAACGCAGACTTGCTTTTGTAGTTCATATGTGTGTTAATGCACCTTTACAAAAGTACTGGACTACGCATCTGCAAACGCTAATCTCATTAGAGACAAACTGAATTGCAACAATTACGTTATATAGCTCACAGTAGAGATGCGTTTCAATTCACACTGCATTATTTTTTACCAGCTAGCAAGCAACAGAGAACATGCAGATTCTGACAATGCATTCATATCTTGCTAATCAAACCTGATTTCTGTTGTTACTGTGCAATAAAACACGACAAGAAAAGAATACTGGCTTAAAAGTATGGGCAGAATGGCTTTTATATGAGTAGAAAAACTATTTTCTTGTCACAGTGCAGGTAAATTCCTCTTTATTTATACTGGGCTGAAATAAAAACTTCAGAGCAGACACGCAGATGCCCTGATATGCGTTTTAACTTCCTCAGTTGGATGACTGGAGTTTCGAGGGGTTTTTAATCTTGAAAAAAGTAATTTCTCCAAATACACCTGCATTGCTCATTATCATTGATCTCATCTTGATTGCAGCGTTGTACTCATTTTCCAGCGTTTGTTGTGTCTTGTTTTAAACTAGATTGCCAGGTTGTGGGGGGAAGGCCCATGTATTCTTATGTATGCTTTAGCCACTAAGCACCCAAAAATTGTGCCTGGGCTTTTTGACGCTACTACAGTCCTAATGAAGAGTAATTATGATTAATGCACAGAGTTGTACAGAGAGCTGCTGTCTCACCCTGCACCAGCTGTCGTGAAACCCTGCGAAAGCCGTATGAGGGCAGGGAAAGGTTGAAAGTTTCTTGATGGCTGCATTTCCCACGAGGGAAGGGAAAAGGCGTAGAGGCGAACGGGGCCCTGACAGCCCCAGCCCCGGCCCCGGGAGCAGGCGGGCGGGGGGTGCCTGGCCCAGCTGGGCCAGGAGAGGCCAGCGATGCCAAGCCAGCGGGCTGGGAAGCACAAATGCTCGTGTTTTGGGGCAAAATGCACACACGCACCTGCACACACACACGCACGCAGAGTGCTGCAGCCAGGCACCCCTCACCGCAGCCCTCCCCACGCCGCCAGCCCCTCTCCGGCCGCCCTCCTCCTCCCTCCCGCTCCGCCCCTCCGC